GTACCTTGGTCATGGGCATTGCATGGATTTCAGTTGCACAAAGCAAGGGTGCTATTTTTCTTTTTTCTCATAGAAGTGCCTTCCATGCCTTATACTTATTCACAGAATTTGTGTCCTTACAACTCTATGCTGCTGGAAATTCACTAATTTCATCTTTGAGGGTCTCAACACTGTGGCTAAACTCAGGTCTTGAGCAAATGTACCTGTTTAATGTGTTTTTCAGGTTTTGGGGATGGAGTTCACCTTCCCCAAAATGTCTGAATGAACACTCTAGACAAGTTATAAAGGAGTAAAGATGCTCTTCTATAGAATCATGAAAATTTACAAATAAAGGAGTTATTAGTATTGTTAGCAATTAAAAGTAATAATAATTGAACTTCACAGAAAAATTTGAGGGGCTAAAATTTTTGTATGTTTGTCCACTGCCACATGCCACAGAAAAACTAAAATTTTCATCTTGAACTACACTATCAGAAATTTAAGTCAAAATTTTGTATAATTGGGCTTATTAACCTTTAGTTAAGTAAACTTTTATAAAGGGACTAAATTGACCTTAAATTATCCCACTGATCTTAATATGTGTAAATGACACTATAAAATTGACTTTCTTTGCATAGCACAATTTTCAGATGCCAGGTGAAGTTTTTGTAGAAAAATTAACAGTTTTAGATTATTTTTAGGTTTAATGATTATGTAGTAACATCTGACTTGTAACATTTGGTATTTATATTCTGGGAAGCTAAAGGGAAATAATTTAACATTTCTCTACTGTGGTTTCAACCTTTACAACATTGAACATTTGTTTGTCAAGGTAATTATGTGCCTTTGTCAAGACATGAAGCATGGAGAAGCAACAAAGAAATGCAATTAGTTGACAGTATTATTCTGCCTTACAAATATTATGTTGGCTACTTGAAAGGATTGGTTGTGGTGAAGAGAGAGCAGCACTGGAGTCCCTTGAGATGAGCAGGCATCCAAACCACTTAGGCCAGAGGTGATAGAGACACAAACCCAAGGCAGATGGAATGAAAATGAGGAAAAACTGGGGGAGACCATAAGACTTGATAATTACTTATTTGTCATAAGGGTTGGGAGATTTCCAAGAAGAGGAATTGTCCAAGTAGATTCTCAGTGGAAATCTTTAGCCTGCAGCTCAATAGACTTCCTTCCTGATTTAAAGCAAGAAGAGCAGCGTGATCTAGATGCACGATTAGGGTATTCAGAGTGTAGGTGGGATCTGAAGTTGCATTGGCGGAATTTCAAAACAGAATGGCAATGCAGAATAGTCTAATTTTGCAGAAAAGTCATCCTGTTTCTAAATTATTTGGATCACTTTGTCACTGTACTAACAAAATTTTAGGAGAAAGAGTAGTTGATTCTCCCCTAAAATCTCCTGGGGTGATATCAAGACTGAGGACTCCCAAATTTGATACCGGCATGCTGATAATTGCATGTATCAACATGTTGAGTGTTGAGTCATGTTAACTAAGTTCTGAGGCTGAAATCTAAAAGCAAGAATTGTGCCCACTCACTCACAAAAGGAGAAGTGTAATGGTCACACCCATGAGAAAAATGGCTTTGGCACAGCTAGGGCTAAGACATAAGCAGAAGATTGCATCTGAAATATGGGATCAGATCAGTGAGAAGGTGGATCAAATCTGTGTATGAAGTTAAACATGGCCTCAAAAAGGAGACTCTTTTTTTCCCCCCTCAGATGAGATATACTTAAGGTCTTTAGGTTAGATCCCTCTAGAACTTTCAACTTAATAAAGAATGCTTTGGAGTCCCTGCCACTTTCACTGATCTTCAGATGACAGAGAACAAATCCCAGTTCCACTACCAAAATGGAAGAGATTAGTGTTAGTTTTAGTCAGTTCTTCACCGCGATAGTGAAGTCCTTCAGCCAAGCTAACTTTCTAAGGGAAGAAGTTTATTTGAGGTTCATAGTTCTGGAGGTTCCTGGTCAAATTGAGCAGGCCTCACTAGTCTGGCAGCTGCTATGAAAGTATTATTGTGCTGGCCGAGTTTTTACCTGATAAAGGAGTATCATCTGGCAAAAGATGGAGTGTTCTTACTGTGAGTGCCCATGTGGTCCTTTTGAAAGTCCCCAGAATCGAAACATGGGGGCTCTCCCTAGCAGATTAATCCAACCCATTCACCTCACAAATGCCCCAGCTCCAAATACCATACTAGGATTAAGCTTTCATGCCCATTTAGTGCTATTACAGTAAGACATTAGGTACTAAATCTTAACACATGGGCCACTGGGGAACGTACACCATCAAACTCACAGAAAAACCATAGTGTAGGAGTACCGACATGTCCAACACATATACCCTTTACTTCATCTGACTGATTCTTGAACATTTGAGATCGCAACTTCTACTCTGAAGGATAATCATTTCTGGGCTAGTGGGTGTAGAGGTCCACATTATACGTACTGCCAAAGTGGAGGTGTGTGGAATAAATGGTGTGGTGAGAAGATAAATGAAAGGGGCCATAGAGAAGACTGAAACCAACGGGGATTAGTTTAACTACCATTTAAGATAGACAGCTGTTTTAACTTAAAAATCATTGTAGGTTGGTTTCTTGGCTGGAAAAGCTGTGTAATTATATCCTATTGGAGCTATGGAAGAGGTAAAAAACACTTTTTAAGATTTATTTTATTTTTATTGGAAAGGCAGATATACAGAGAAGAGAGACAGAAAGATCCTCCGTCCAATGATTCACTCCCCAAGTGAGTGCAATGGCCGATGCTATGCCAATCTGAAGCTAGGATCCAGGAGCCTCTTCAGGTCTCCCACGTGGGCGCAGGGTCCCAAAGCTTTGGGCCATCCTCGACTGCTTTCCTGGGCCACAGGCAGGGAGCTGGATGGGAAGCGGGGCCGCTGGGATTAGAACCGGCGCCCATATGGGATCCTGGGCATGCAAGGAGAGGACCTTAACCACTGCGCCACTGTGCCGGGCCCAAAAAACACTTCTTGCTAATGATGGAGATTGAAGTAATTAATGTCATTAATGGATTATGCTTTTCTATTTTACTTCCTTACAGTGAGTCCCTTTTACTATATGATCCCCTCTCTTCCAGTTCTCTCTGTTAGCCTTATCAAGGTGATATTTAAAACACACTCACGTATGGGGCTGATGTGGTGGCATAGGCAGGATTGTGCCCGACATGTAGTGTCAGCATCCCATGAGTGCCAGTTCATATCCGGCTGCTCCCTGTTTATAGTCTGAGAAACTAGCTGAGGATGACTTAAATCCTTGGGGCTCTGTACCCACGTTGGAGACCTGAAGGAGACTCTGGCATCTGGCTTTGGGTTGGCTAAACTCCCACCATTGTGGCCACTGGGGAGTTTGGCCATTTGTCTCTCCTCTATGAAATTCAGTCTTTGAAATAAAAATAAGTAAATCTTTAAAAAAAAATATATATATATATACACATGAAAAGCCTCTGAGTCAGTCGTAGCACCTTCCATATTAGCACTTAGCCAGATGTAGAGTTTCAGACTCATGAGAAGTGAGACTTGGATAAACAAATTTTATTTCATTCACAAATGCTCATGCCCTCTGAAGCAGATAGCTGTATAGAATGTTTTTCTGGGTGCATGTGTTGATGTATGCTCTTGGGGCCACTGGGAAAACTTTATTAAAGAAATTTCTCCTGGTTTTAATTCTTCAACTAGAGGGATGTTCTTTTATTTAATATATATATTTCCTACCAAGAATTTTAAAAAAGTAGTCACCTCTTATGAACCTTGGTTTGTGACGAATATTCCAGTGGTCTTTTGTCGCACATTATCTGGATTGATTTAAGGGAAATGTTTAAGGATAATCAGTCGTTTGTAGAGAATAAACTATCTTAGAATGATTTTTGTGTCATGCTGAGTATAGGGTGGTACGTAGTGCTTCTTCAGCTGGCTCAGTTCTACAGCAGTCTGACCAGTGCTCTAAGCCACGACTGAATACTCTGCCCAACTCCGTAACCAAACCAGAGACCCTTTCTGCACCTTTAATTCTGATTTTGAGTTACTGAACAAACATTGGTTAGTGATTGAGATTTGAACTATGACTAAGATGAAGGAATGGAGAAAGTTTTAGCTTTTGAAAGACAGGGTTAGTCTTCAGACTCAACCATACCATAATAGATACAAATAGGCTGAATGAAGGTGACTAGGAAAGTATAAATTTGTCAAACTAAATATAACCTGAGGGTTGTGAATATGAAGTTTTGGGGGGATTGTGAGTCAGCATCATACTTCCTTATTGTTGCCCACCCACTGCCAGTTAACGACAGGAGTGTAATGGAACTGCTGAATGAGATGCCCAGAATGCTTGGCATTAGTCATATACCTTTTTAGAATTCAGTGTCCACTTTGACCACAGAGAAGTGTGGAGAATTTGTCAGGAGTCCAGGGCATGGCAACAGACGCAAAGGAGCACTAGCAAGGAGGGCACACTGAAAGAGGCTAATACGTAAAGATTGATTGTTTAGCCTGATAAAGGCAGCTGGACAGGAATTACATTGATGATCCTCTATTACATGTGTGGTTATTACGCACAAAATGACAATTCTAATTCAATAGAATTAGGAAAATGAATTTACATTAGAGGTTTTGAAGGTTTTAAAGAGCTTTTTAACTCTAAGGACTGTTGGACAGTGGAACGACTTCTCAACAGGAAGTGTGAATTCCTGTTCTTTTCAGAGTCTGCCCAGGGTGGGCACTGCTGCCCAATTAGAGGAGCTGTTGGGGTAAAAATGGACAGACTCTCTAGATCCTGTCTCATGCTGCTCATCTCACATTGTGTTTGACATTTCTTTGTAGTTCTTACTTTTAACAAAGAGGAAGACCTTCCTTTTTGATTTCTGTAATGAATTTTAAGCAAGTAAAAGGTTAACTTGCAAATTCAAAATCATTTCATCTGCAGATAGGCTTGCTGCTTGGTATGTAAGACCTTATAATATTTATGATTTCAGCTTTCCTTTTTTCCTTCTTTAGAAAATTCTCTGCGTGCCCTCGTCATTTGTTCTACGATGAGTGCCAAATCTGCCATCAGCAAGGAAATTTTTGCACCTCTTGATGAAAGGATGCTGGGAGCTGTCCAAGTCAAGAGGAGGACAAAGAAAAAGATTCCATTCTTGGCAACCGGGGGTCAAGGCGAATATTTAACTTACATCTGCCTGTCAGGTATGCAAATCAGATCTTCGTGTTCCTAAGACAACTCCTGTTTTACGACAGTTCATTCTAAGCTGTCCAGGAGGATGTAATTCCCAGGTATTGTCCATGGGTATCTGCTTTCCCAGTCCTCTTCCTGTTTCTCTATTGTCTGTCTCTGAATCTTACTTATGGGATGTCTATTTTTGAGACTACATTGTGTTGAAAAGGTTGTGAGGTTCAGTTTTAATGTATTTTCCAGTTAACTGGGCTCATTTGTAAAGGTAAACACATGTTCACACTTTCCCTTCCTGAGAACATTGACTGGGATTGGTCTGGTTTAGAATAATTCCTGGTATTCTGTCCCTGTCATTACTAGCATCCAGAGCTTAATTCACTTTGTTTTTCTAGATATTTGCCAATAATCAGTAATGGTTTGTTTTGATATAAATATTGGCACATTATGGAAAGTGAGAAAGTAGATTTAGTTCACACATCTTTGCTTTGCCTGACAGCTGTTCCTTGTCAGGAAGAGGCATGTGTCTTATTAAGCTTAGGATTTTGTCAGATTATTTTTTTTTCCTTTTTCTGTTTGTGTTTGTAGGATATCTGTGGGATTTATTGTGGATTCAGACAAGGTATTTTGAGATAAAACTTGGATAAGGGTCCCAGGAAGTTGTGAGTGATTCTAATCTGGATGCTTGGGACATATTAATATTTCTGATATAACTTCTTGTGGTAGAGCGATGAAAGAATTAAGTTACCTTGATTGTGTGTGTGTGTGTTTGTTCTTTTAAATCTTTTAATTGTGGCTTGGGAATAAAACTTTTTTGGGGTGGACTTTTTAATTTTTGAAACATTAAGCACCTACTTAGGTTTATCAGACTTTATTTCAAGATAGAAATAATCTTTTATCAATAAACTATTCTTATTTGCTATTTCATAAATTTTCAGCCACGGTGCTTCCTCACCTTTGCCCTGCTCCTCGCCTTTCTTTCCTCCCCATTGTCCAAAATTGTATCTTAAAATAAGAGCGTAGTATTTGGGTAAGAATGGTTTTACAAAAAAAATTTTTTTGAATAAATAAAGGGTTAAAAGAGGTCTTTTAGTTGAGTATGGAAGAATTGACCTTAAAATATGAATCCTCTTTTTCCCCACGTAAGCATTAGGTTAATACTTTTGCTATTGTTATATTTCTGTTTCTTTAGTATGCTTAACATTTCCTAGAATGTAATAGGGATTCACTTTGTGTCTACTGATCAACTGAAAGAAATCAGTAGCCTTTTCTAATACTTTCCTAATATTTTATTAGTAAGATTTATATCTTTAAAAATTTAGTATTGCTAAATTTAGCTTCTAGAGATTTTCTTGCCATGAATAGCCTGGCTTCTTCTTTCCACTGAACTTTCTTGTAGATAGGTAGTTAATAGAAAGGTGGCTGGTCCATAGGCCACTTGAATTTTGCTTAACACATTCCTACAATGAAAAGAGGACATTTGCTCATATGCAGTCATCTGCCTTTTTCTGATCATGAAGTAGGCAAGAATGACACAGGGACTTTAACAACCTCACTACAATGAAACAGCATTACCATTTCCTGGGGCTTATTGGATAACTACATTTCCTTTATAAATTACCAAGACTTCCAGGTTTAAAGTTGAAAACACTAAAACTGCTCTTTTGTTGCATTCTAATGGAAGAAACTCTTTTGTTCTGAAAGGCCTTTCATGGTTTTGAATTTTGAGAGGATGGATTGATAAAGTCGACATGACATGTAAGCCTGGAAATTGGGGCAGGAGGAGAAATCCAAGTGACTTTGACACCCCGGTTTTTTTAAAGTCAAATTTTTCTTGAAGGTGACAAAGAAGTAGTGACCTTTATTTTCTGACTTACCTGAAGCTTAGAGCTGTATCAGCCACATCCCCGACAGGGTGATGTTCTAATTAGCAATCAATTAATTAGTCAAATATATGTCAAGCATCTTTTTATGTGCTGAGCATTTTCACTACTAGGCCTGCAGTTAGAAGGAAAATCTGCAATTCTCTGGTGTGGAGGGGAAGAAGCAGGAGACATTGATACTTCACTCATTAGCATCCACATCATCAAAGGTTACGGAGAGTAAAGGCAGTGATGTGAAAGCCAGAGCGGGAAGAATGTGGTCAGCTTGGAGAAACAAGGGTGTCTAGAAAAGTAGTCCCTCCCTGGTTTTGAAGACAGAGTAATGTGGGCAAGAAGGCATGCCAGGTGGTGGGAATGGCAGCTTCGTTAAAAGGCTAAACAGAATTGTAGTTTTCTCCTGTCTGCTTTTTGGTCCAGGGATGAGCTCTTTGTAGCTCCACAGACATAAGAGGAGGTAAATGAAAGCAGGGCCCTGGGAAGGTTAGTCTCCTGCTAACAGTGTGCACTGACCGTGCTGCCTGGCAGGACTGCTGAGGATTGCTTAATGACAATTGATGCTTCATTCTGAACAGGCAGACTTGCTCCAAATTAGGACAGTATCTGCAAATAGTTTGAACCACTCTTCAACAGCAAGAAGAATGGAACTTTTTTTAAAAAGGGGAAAGCTTGCCAAAATGTGTACCCAGGTGTAGTTGTCTCATGTATATCCAATATCTGTTTCAGTTGTTTCTAAGTGTAAAATTTATTTTTCTGATGTTTGATACAACTTAGAAGAGGCCAAGTTTGTGAACATAAAATTTTCTGAGTGTGCTATATATCCTCTGGAGAGATCTAAAACAGAAAAAGTGCTGAGGTGGGGAAAGTAAACAAATAAGTTGCTGTTTCATGAGCTGTGTAGCTGTAAAACTATAAGAAGAATAATCCCTGAGTCTTGGGGTTGGGGATTATGCCTTTTTCTTGGAGTCCATGTCTAACTTCTGCAGTTGGTTGAAAGTGCTTGCATACTGATCTGCCTCAAGGATTTTGCATTCCTAAAGCATTGATTTCTACTGTTAACTTTTCAGCAGTGCCTAAAATAAAAAATATGGATAATAACCAAGTCTTAGCAAGCATATGGAACAATTTGAGCTCTCATACTTAGCTGATGGGAATATAAAAATCCCATAACTACTTTAGTAAACAGTTTGCCAGTTTAGTTTTTTCTTTTTTTAAAGTCAGATGTGCACAATGTTTTTTAAAGATTCTTAGAGTCACAAAACTGTAAGAATTGATTCACCTCATCTCAGTATAACCCGTGAGTTGGCTGGACTAGCCTTCTTATTTCTATCAGTTATCCTGGATGGTTTTTTGAACACTTCGATAAGCACCCGTGTATCAGTAAAGCTGTGTTAACATCTTTGTCCACAAGAGAGATCTTTTACTGAATCTTTCTGTCTCTGTCTCTCTCTCACTATTTTGCCCAAGGGCTGGACTTGATGTGTTCCTTCCTTAGGACTTGGCACATTGTTGCCTGGGGACATAATACATGTTTAATGGAAGATGCTGTTTAGGTTTGTAGCTTTCTACTTACTTGATTTAGGCTTTATGTATCACTTGGAACTGTTAGGATCCCCCACGTGTGAAGCCTGCCCTGCCAATGACAATTTCTGCAGTCACTTGCCCCCTTCATGATAATCTGGATCTATAGAACTAAAATTAGAAACACACCAAGTTGAATTCAGTTTGTTGTTCTGGGCCATTTAGCTACTGAATGTACACTATAGTTCATGTTTAAAATCTGCTTGCCTGAACCTACTTTAATTTAGCTTGCATAATACAAGTTGCTGGCCTCCTATCTTTGGCTGGTTTTCATTGTCTTCACAGAAGGGGCAGGTAGGGACTTTAATCTTGATAAGATATTCTGTCTTATTGAAACAGAAAAGGTTAGTCTTTTCCACATACTTTCAGGTTTGTAGTAGAGAGGGAGAAACAAAAACTTAAAAAAAAAAAAAAAAAAGAGATTGTGTTGCCTGCAATGAAAGAATCTGAACTGAATTTGAACTGTGGTAGTGCAACAAGGTGGAGGAATCCACCATGGGTGGGGTTGGGGAGGGGTGGGGGGAATCCCAGTGCCTATAAACTGTCACATAATGCAATGTAATCAATTTTTTTTAAAAGTGAAAAAACAAAAAAATAAAAAGATTGTGAATAACCTTTTACTAAACAGTTTATTTATGTAGATACTCATAGAAGGCAATGACATGGATTGGAAGCGTAGGTCCTGCCAGTGCTGTTATTTCTATCAGTATTTGCCAGCCCTTGCTGTTCTAAAGAAAAACCTGCAGAGCTTCTCAGAGTGCCCCTGCCCTGGTCCTAAAGCTCATCTGTAGTGTGGAAGTGTGATGTGAGAGATTCTGAAGCTAAGGTTCAGAGATCACTGTTTAGGTGCAGTTATCTTTGCTCATCTATTGTGATTTTTGACATAATGGCATCACTTTTTTGGTATTCAATGTTAGTGATAGTTTTTAGTCTCTTTATGGTTATTTGCACGAGGGTGAGCTAGGCTTTCATTTAGTAAGTTGAAAAGGGGAGTTAGATTGAAGTTTCTTAGGGCTTTAATGTTCCAGAATTCTGAACTTCTTTGAAAATTTTTTTACCAAAGTTAATTCTTATTCTATCTATATCATGTAGGAAGGATTCAGGCTGTTAATATCAAAGTGGCCACTTAAACATTTATGAGGATTTGAGAAAATTCGTTGTGGGTTATTATTGGAATTATGGTAACAAAATTTAATTGTCAGTGATCTGGCTTAAAGAATTTTAAAAATCTGTTTGCCAATTCAGACTGGATCCAAACTTAAACACTATAAATATTAAAAGAAAAGGGAAAGAAAGAACTTTAAGATAGGTGAATGAATAAAGATGTGGAATAAATGAATAAAGGAATAAAAAGGAATAACAGGGCTTATTCAGCACAATGGTGAGTTGATGTTCCATGAATTTTTAGCCAGAAAAAATAAATTCATATTGAATTAAGAGATATACAAAGGTGTTAGCAGTTAAAGAGAGGATGTAAAATATAATAGTGACACATTTATCAGTCTTAGGCAAGGAGTTACTAAAATTTTTAGAAAATTACATTGAAGAACACAAAA